GCCCTGGCGAGCTGGCCATCGGAGAAAAAACACATTCATATCTCATAGCCAGGATTTTCCCTGACCGAACCTGGACCTGACCTGCCGGACATGGCCTGACAGTATCGTCGGACCCGCCTGACCTGGCAGTCTCTCCCCCGGTGTGTTCCGGCACGTCCGCCGCTGAGCTGGTGGCGCGTGAGGTGCGCTGTCCCTGCGCTGTTTGTTCCCGCCGCCGTGAGTCCGGCCGCTGTCGCCTGGGGCGCGATCCCCGCCGCGGCGACGGCGCACTCCGGCCGGCTCTCCAGGCTCGACCCGGCGCAGGGGCGCACCCAGGACGACGCACGGGCAGTCGGCCACTCCCGCCGAGCGCCCATGTCTCTTCAGTCACCCATCAGCCAGAGAGCTGTTTCCCGCTCGCGGCAGTCGTGACCAACTGCGGAAGTATGCGATTAGTCAGCTCCAGTTACCACCCCCTCATTACCTACTTAGAGAGCAGCAACTAGTAGCAGACTCCCCCACACTCGCGCTCTCTCCCTCTTCATGGTGGTCCTGGCGTCGCATCTGTCCGTTCTAGAGTGGGCCCGCGGGCCGACATGGCCAACAGACGGCCGCGCTCCGGGCCGCACATGTGTGTGTGTGTGTGTGGCTCGGCATTGATTTCCCCGCCCGCGGAGCCGCGCCCGGCCGGACTGGACGGCGTCTGCAATTACCGGCATTTGTCCGCTGACTGGCCGTGGCCCGTAACTGGCGGCAATTGAGCGGTCGCCCGCCGCGACGACGGAGCGGCCCGTCTGGCTCTGGGTCTCCGGGCTGAGCTGGGCTGGGCTGGCTGGGCTGGGCTGGGCTGGGCTGGGCTGGGCTGGGCTGGGCCTGGGCTGGGCTGGCTGGGCTGGGCGGGGCTGGGCATGGGGCTGGGCTGGGCTGGCTGGACCGAACTGACCGGGCTGGACCGGCTGGGCCGAGCTGGGCCGGCCGGGCCGGGCTGGTGGAAGTTTCACCTGCGCTGTAGTGGTTGCCGGGGTTATTTGTTGTCTGGGGTTGTTTGTGCTTGGCGTGTAGTGGGGGCCCATGACGACAGCTCCAGCGCTGATATTAGAATTGCTTATCTGTCGCTCACTTGGGCTGCCCTTGATGCATTTTGATGTGTTTCATAACGTACATGTTTTGTGTGAAAACGGCCCCTCATCCAGCGCTGATATGGCTGATGCAATGCAGATCAGACTCACGGGCTCAGCTTGTGCATGGCGTGTTGTTGCGCCAATACCAGGCTGTTTGGATTTGAGGCTAAGTTTGTCCATGTCTGGTATGTAATGTAACGTTTTACGCGCCCACCAGGCGCCCGTACCGCCACACCCACGGCCGGCCGTCCTTGCCCCCTCCCCCTCCCCCGCCTCGCGCCGCCGCCTCCCAGCATCAGCTGATGGTCCCTGAATCCAGCCGACCGGAAGCAACGGTCATGTTACGGGCGCCGGCGGCGGCGGCGGCTGTGATCGGCCGGCTCGCCTGGAGCGAGCGGGCCGGGGTCAGCCGCGGTGACCCCGGTCCGGTTGTCACGCCAACATCTGGCCGGATCGGGTCGAGGTCGGGGTCCATGCGCTGCGGTCGACCCATCCTCTGGGCGTCGCTGTTCTTCACGTATACCACTGCCCATTCCGACGGCTTTTAGAAGAGAGGCCTCTCTACGTCATCTTCCCTGGTCGCTGGCATCCTTCCGGACACGAAGGCCGCGCCGTTCACGGGACTTCGCCCCAGCGCCCAGCACAACCGCGCTCAGGTGACCAGCGCGGCGACAGCGCCTTTCGCGTCCTCCCAGTGTCGCGTCGCATGACTGTCCCGAGACGTCGCCGCTCTCCTTGTCTCTCGTGGGTCCTGGCCGACCCGTCGATGGTTTCGGTCTCGCCGTGACGTGACGAGACGAGACGAGACGAGACGAGACGAGACGAGACGAGACGAGACGAGACGAGACGAGACGAGACGAGACGAGACGAGACGAGACGAGACGTGACCGTTAGCGCGGAGCCGCCGCCCGTCGGTCTGCACCGACCCCGGCCTGGCCTGGCCTGGTCGGGCCGCCGCCCCGCTGCAGCCGGCCGGTCGGCGGCCCGTCGGCCTGTCATAATGGCCCGGTGACTCACACCCTCCAAACACAGCCTCGGCCGGCGCCGGTGTCTGCAGACCGGGCCGCCGTCACGGGCGCGGCGTCACGGCGTCACGACACGGCCGGCGTGGAGCCGCCCAGCCGTGCCGATCCACCGGCGGCGCGCACCGCCTGTCCGCCTGTCTGTTGCCTGTCCGCCTGTCTGACTGATGTTTGACTACGGGACTCTTGTCGGGCTACCGCTGGTCTCGGCCGTTTTTGTCGCTGGGGGATGTCTGACTGTTGGTCGATTAGCTGCCTGGAACCTCACGCCCACAATAGGCGCATAAAAAGAGCCGACGGCCGTAGGGCTGGACATGCATAGCCCATGGACATTCGAAACCCCGCCAGCAAATCTCTCAAATGAACACATCTCAATTCAATGTGCATCGCTCTACGGATCGCGAGCTAAACGACGGTAGTTCATTGTGGATTAGCTAACCTGCAATGCTGGTAAGTCGTGATGCCTTGCATCAGCAACGGCTTTGGCGTGCACAAAGCTGCCCGTAATACCATTGAAACCCCTATGGCAGCCACATTCAGTGCTAATCTGCCTGATGGTCAGCTGACAAACGCTGGGCTCCAGCGTCGTGTAAGCCTCTGGGTCACGTGGGGTGGACATGGGGACGGACACTCGGACGTCATCAGCCGCCTGCCGGCCGCGCTAGCCGGTGACAGTGGCCGCCTCTGGGCGGGCGGAGCCGGCGGCGGACGGCCGGCCGCGCGTAGGTCAGGTCAGATTTGCTCGCGTTCTCGACGGCTGATCGTGGCTGTTACCCCCAGACTCTACTCCAGGCGGTGGTTGACAGAGATTGGACGCACCCAACAGGTGGTGTTATCGTATTTCTCCTGGAACGAGCTGGAATTTGTGATTTCCTGGAGCGGAGTTTGAGCTCGAGCAAATCCCAATGCTAGAAATATGGCCGCTTTTACGTCTTGACTTTGACCGTGGCGCATGGAACAAAACACTGCCAAGTGAAAGTGCGTTTGTGTCGTGCTGGATTCCTGCGGGTCGGTGCTAATGGCAAAACTTCAGGGAAATATTACGGCGTAAAGGGCAGACTAGTAAAACGAAATGTACAACGAGAGTTAGGAGAGTGATGTGACTTTCTGCATACTTGCTGACAGAGATATATGGGTTGGCCCAATCCCGTTCACTGCCGTGGTTTACTGTCAAAACCGATCTAAGCCAACAGACACGATTGAACTTTGCTTCTTTTTTTGTATTATCGACGCTGAACAGGGTCCACTAGTAAGAGTCACTGCAAGCACGCAGTGACTTGCAGTATTAAGACGACAGTATAAGTATAAGACGTATTTATGTAATATAATTAAGACATCTATATAATAAGATTCTTAATTATATCAGTTATATAATATAATTAAGAATCTTATATTATATATAATATAATATAAGACAGTTGCAGTTTAAGACGTATTAAGACGCGCCTCTAAGCCTTATTAAGTCTAAGCCTCAATAACAGCAAAATTCCGCCGACAGCAGCAGGTGTCCCCGCCTCGCTCGACTGTCCTTGAAGTGCCGCCGCCAGTGCGGCCGGATCCGCCGTCGCCGCCGACCCTCGCAGCACGCAAAACGCCAAACGCTGCATCGCCGCGGCTTCCGCCCCGCCATCGACGCCGGCGGCGGCGGCTGACCGCGTCCGTCGACGGCCGTGCACCGACGATCGATGGCGCGTGTTCGGCGCCCCTCGCCCCGTCGACGGGGTCGGCCCGCCGCCCCGCACACCGGGCGCCGGCTCCGGCGTCCGGCGGCGACGGCGGAGCCGACCCGCCGCCCCGCACGCCGGGCGCCGACCCTGGGCGTCCGGCGGCGACGGCGGGGTCGGCCCGCCGCCCCGCACACCGGGCGCCGGCCCCGGCGTCCGGCGGCCGACGGCGGAGCGGCCGCGCCGCCCGCTGCCACCTGGTGGCGACCGGGGCGTAGCTGGGTGATCTGCCGGCGGTGGCGGATTGCGTTTGCGGTCGCGCGGTGGCCGGGCCCGCTTCTGACCTGGCGTGGTGCGGCGAGGGCGCGCCGCTCGCGGTCCGTCGGCGGACTGACCCCGGCGACGTCGGAGGTCACCAGAGTGTTTGCTCGGCGCGCCGGTCGGCTGATGGGGCCGCGGCGAAAGCGGTGTGGGCGCGCGGCTGACCCTCGGCCGCCACCCGCGGCGGCACGCCTGTACCGCCGTCCGTCACTGGCCGGCGGGTGGGGATCGGCCTTGGGGCTGTCACTGGCCGCCTGGCCCAGCACTGACCCCCGGGGTGGCACACTTGTGCCGCCGTCCGTCACTGCACGCGGAGCGTGTGGGTGGGGGCTGAGACCGTCACTGGGCCGCCGTTGATTGACCTTGCGATGCAGGTTGACCTGATCGCGTCCCGAGTACCCGGGGTCTGCCTGGTTCCAGATGTTTGGGACAGGCGTCGGTCGGCTTTATTTCATGTGTGCTGGCCTGGACCCTCGTGTGTCGGCCATGTGCTGTACCGGGCACACATCTGGACGACAAGTGTCGGCGGGAGCGATTGGTCGGGTATTAATTACCATTTGCACGTTGCAACACCCCGTTGCCAAGACATTGCAACGGTCGCGCTAGCTAACCACGACGTTTCGTTTCCCACGAGAGCCCGCCCCTCACCGGGGAGCCCGTCAGAGAATCCGACGGAGCCTGAGGCTGGCGACTGTCACCAGCCGCCTGTCCGCTCCGCTCCGCCCACGCACTGTGCGTGAGCGCCGAGAGCGGCCGCGCCCGCCGGCCGGCCATGTGGGCGCGACGGCCGCCGGCGCCGCCGCCGCGCCTCATTATCATAAGCGCGCGCGCGGCTGGGAGGCGGCGCGGCGGCGGCGCGTCAGTCGTCTGCTGGCGGCGGCGCGGCGCGGAGCCCGGTGTCTCGGCCCGAACGCAGCGGTCCGTCACGTGCGCCATGTCGCTCTCGGGCGTGCACGCCGGCAGCCGAACGCTGCCCAGCCGGCGGCGGGCCGACGACTACGACAACCTGCGCGAGGCGGCGTCGACGGGCATGGAGCTGACGCGCGCGCTCGGGCGCAGCGAGACTGAGCTGGCGGAGCTGCGCGGCCCCGTCAAGTCCATCACCATGCGCGTGGTGAAGAAGACGACCACGCTGTCGCGCGGCCAGCAGAAGACGCGCTTCGAGAGCGCCGTGGAGACGCTCGACGGGCACGTGTTCGTGCCGATGAAGCCGCAGCAGCCGCAGGTCAGGTCGCGGGGTCAGGTCAGGTCGCTAGGTCGGGTCGGGCGAGAGACAGAGCAGGTTTAGGCGGACTCAGGCTTCATTTGTGGGCTCGAGCCAGGTGACACCACAGCCACATGTCCAGACACCGCGGTCATGTCGCATCTCCTGGCCAGATCAGTTTCCAGGTCCGTCGGCACATTCGAAACAGAGCACTGGACCGCAGCTTGGCCGCGCACAGTTCAGTCATGACGCCCCTATTGGGCTGTCGCGTGCTGATGGAAGGGTCGCTGATGACAACGGCCGGTGTAATCATGCTGAGTAATTTACCGTGACCTCTCTCGGCCAGCTGTAGCTCAGGCGCTGACACCAACGCGAAAGACCAATAGGTCAAGGTGGCGATAGCTATTAAGGTTCGGCGCACGGGACATGGGTGCCGTAGAGATAAAGGATGCAGATGGCTTGCCAAAATATTTAGGCGCCGACGAACACCAGCTCGGCGATCCGAAATGTTCAGGTGGCCTGTCGGGGGCCACGGTGGTCTACCATCAGTTACTGGGCTGGCGTGAGCGAGGCCGCGGCGTGGTCAAGGTGTCGTGATGCCCAGGTACCGACGATGCCTTAAAAAGTGCACAGTGCGCGCTTCTGCGCAGCGACCGAGCGCCCTCTTGCGGCTGGCCGGTGGCAATCAGAATAGCAATGACATTCCTTCATAGTGAATGACTTCATCATGAATTAATGCTAATGAATGACTCGCACCCGCAGCACCTGACATTTGGGATCCCCCTCCTTGCCTGCAATTTGGCGCCGCCGTGTCATTTAGCCGTTGGGCGGCGCGCAGGTGCACGTGCTCGGCGCCTCGGCCGTACCCCGGCGACGGCGGCAGGTCGGGTCGCACCGTAAACAGGTGTCCCGGCCAAGGCCGGTGCGCGCCGTGGACGTGACTCCGGGGCGACATGTGATAGGCGGAGCCGGCTGTGTCGGCGGCGACGGGGCGGACCGCGGAGCGCGGTGGGCGTCTTATTAGGGCGATTCGGGTCACTGTGTGGCCACACATAGTAATGAGAGCTCCGTGATGATAGCTGATCGAGAGGGGCGCGATCGGAGTCTTTTCGCTTTCGGTCGTGGGAGCTAGATAGACGGTCATTATATGTTATCTCGGCGTCGGATTAATTTTCTCAATGGAGTGGTTGGTCGTTAGCTGTGGTCCTCACGTCTGATTGATTCTCTGAACGGAATAATGATAACGCCTATATGTGTCAGGGCGGCCCGCGTACGTAATGCATTGGACGACATAATTTACCGGTCGTGAAATTCCAGCTGACCCCTGGTCGTGGGCGTGTTGAAGGGTTTTCTTGGTGGCAGCTGGACTATTCGTGGCGTCGCATGTCGGCTTTTGCCTCTGAGCGGGTCCACTTCAGTTTTGGTATGCGATTGGATACTACGCTTTGTTTTTGACATGCTGAAGCATTGCTTGCAGCTGCCCATCCCCCCACACACTTCGGCTTGAACAGCGTCAGTGCCACGTGCTGCCTTTTCGTCCCGTTCCCACTACGAGTTCAGTGCAGCCCTCGCGGTCACTCCTGTGGTTTCGTGCTGACAGCTGAGTGATCTGAACGCCCGAGCCCACGCAGACCCGTGCACTATATTAAGACTTCACTCTCGGAATCGTGAACCTGTTCCCAACAAGCCTGAGCCGTCCAGCTGCCGCTGTCCTGCCATGTCCGGCCGTCATCGCCCCGCTCAGCTGGGCCCGACCGTTCGCTGACGCCACGACCCCGGCATCCAGCCGCCGTCGGCGTGATGTCATAGGAGGCGCAGCTGGCGCGCCCGAGTCACCCCGCCGCCGGCCCTCGGTCTCCGGGCGCGCCGGAGGGGAGCGAGGCCCGCGCCGGAGCACCCGCGCCCGACCAGGCGGTCGCCGCGTGTGTACACTCGTATGCAGAGCTGCAAGGCCGTCGGCCGCTCCATGGCGCGCTGCAGGCCGGAGGATCCGGCCCGGCGACGTGCATGGCGCGCCTTATATGGAGCGCCGCGTGCGCTCGCCGGTGCCGCCCGACCGTCCTGCCGCGGCCGCGGCCGTGCCGGACCCGCCCCGGGTCCACCTACCTGTCCGGGCCGGCCGGGTCGCCGTGGGCCGGCCGGGCGTCTTCAGGTGCGGCGCACCCGAGGCTCCGCCGCCGGCTCAGCGGCTCGTCTTCGCGCGGCGCTGTCGTCGCTTTCGCGAGCAGTTGTCGGAATGGCGCGCGGCGGCGGCGGCTCGACGGCGCTGGACGGCGGCGGCGGGGAGGAGGACGCCGGCCCGCGCCGCCCAAACTGGTCCCGTCGGCGGCAGGTGGCTGGGCGGCGGTCCGAATGTCCGCCGCTGCATACCGCGCCTCGGGCGGCCGCTGTGGGCGGCGCCGGGGTCGCGGCCGTGTTTGGGCGCGCGCACGGACGTCTCTGGGTGGAGCACGCTGCCGAGGTGCGTGGATGACGTGTTCGGCAGCCCCGCCCGTGACGTCACGCCGATCTGGAGCGGGCCCGCCCCGGGAAAGGTCAGGGTCTTCTGACCGCGGCCAGGTGCGTCGATGACGTGTGTCGCGGCCACGCCCCGGGACGTCACGGCGAGCGGCGTTCGGCGCCCTGTCCAGTGAAAAGTTACCAGAAGCTGTAATGAAGTGATGCCGTGTTCTTGGCGCGTTGACAGCAAGTACCGTTTAGATTATGCGACAGGCTTCTTGGATGCGGCGGCTTTCTGGGATGACGCCACCTGTTCCCCACCGCCAGCCTTGGAGGGCGTCGCCCTCGTCGGATAGCGACACGCCGTGAACAAGCTGCCGAGCGGGTCTGGACAGCGGCTTTGGGGGCTGTCGAGGCTGTGTCGATAATGGAGTTCCGCAGTCGGGTTTTCTAGGGGGAGGGGCGACGGCATCGGTCGGCGACGGAGTGTTCCTTTGCGCCGCGTTGGTAACTCCGAGAACGACACTGGTCGTACCTGGATGATGACGCAGCTAGTTCGAACGGCTTGATGTCCCTCTCCCGGCATGGATGTAGGGTTGGGTGTAACGCTTCAAGTTCTTCTCCGTCAGAACCTGCGCTGTCTAAACATGCCACAGATATGGGACTGGCTCTGTGCGGTTCGCCTTTGCCAGCGTCCCCGACCACACCTTATTCGGCCGGTCCAGAATCGCCGTTAATTACCCGCGTTTGGCCATTCATATTAGACCGCGGCGCCAGACAAGCGCGCCTGCGTAATCTGCCGCCAAGTGTGATGCATCGCGCGCTCACGTTTCTGTTCGGAATATTGCCTCAGCACGGCTGATTGGGCCGGCACAAAAGGAAAACACATCTGGCGCGGCGGCCGGCGGGACGCGCCTCGGTGCGGTCCACCGCGTCCGACTTGGTCTCTCGGCGGGACACCGAGTCCCGGTGCGTGCATTGATTTGCCGGCGTCGGCGCGCCGCGGCAGCGACCCGTGTCCGCCGCGCAAAGGTCAGTCCGTCATGGATCGCCGGAGAGAGCAGCTCGAATCGCGTCGCCGCTTTGGAAGATTGGGCCGTCGCGTTTCCCGGCTGGGGGAAGCACGCTCCGCGCGGCCCCGGCGCCGGGATGGTTGGCCCCATTGCCGGCAACTTCAGCATTCTGTCAAACTGGTGCCGCCGCTGACCCGTGGGACCCGTGCTCGTGGGAGTCCTCGGGCTCTGACAGCCTGCGTTGGAACGCGGTTTTCGCCTGCTTTGTGCCCTTGGAGCCAGCAGTGCGCTTCGCTGCGCCGGTCTCGTTGCCGCTATGGTGTCGACAGGTCGCGACACTGCGCCGGTTTTGCCTCCGCCACGAACAAAGCCCGCCTTCGTGCGTTTTTGCGCCGGCAGCATTCTGGACCACTCCGCGCCGTGGGAGACAAATGCGGTTCTCTCGGGCGACGGTCCGCCGGGTCCCGACGGCCGGCGGCCGACGCGCCACCGCCGCCACCGCCGCTGACGAAACAGCGCCCGATCCATCACGGCGACGCATCACGCGGCGACAAAAACCGCCGCCCGTCTAAATCACACTGAAGCGGCGGGGCGTCGGGTCACCGGCGGCGCGACCGCGCGCCAGCTTCGCCGCCTGTGCGTCAGCTTCGCCGCCCGTGCGTCGGTCGTGACGCTGCGCAGGCCGCCCGCCGATGAGCGCGGCGGTCCGTCTGTGGAGCGGACGGGTCCGGGACGATTTGCGCCAGCCCGCGGCTGCGGCGGCGCCGACCGCAGACGAGTTGCGCCGCTGTCGATTTCACGGCGCCGCGCCGCGCCGGTTTCGCCACTGCGCGCCATTGTGTATGCGCGGCAAAAGCGGCTGATTGGCGCGGCCGGCGTCCGAGCGCGCCGACCTCGTCGCAGATGGCGGCGAAGCGCGCCGGGTACGCCGCGCGGCCGGGTGCCGCCCGCCGCCGCCGCCTGCACGGGACATGCGTGGGAGCTTTCACCGACGGCGTGCGTGCGGCGCGCGGCGCGGCGCGGCCCCTTGAGCCGCGGTCCATTTGACGGCTTTTTCCACAAACACGCGTCGCTTTGTACGGACCATTTGTATTCGGGTGGGATGCCACCGCAGGGCGCCACCCGCGGCAAGGCAGAGGCTCGCCGCCGAGGTGCGCACGGCCGTGGGCGGGCGCGGCGCGCCAGCCAGCTGGCTGAGTGGCCTGCACGCCGCGTGCCGTTTAAGGACATGATCGGCCCGGAGAAGAGCAGGCCGAACCGGTCGGCGTGTTTTGGGCGCCGTTATCTCGGAAAAATCCGCCCGAGGAATGTTCGGAACTTTTTAGGGCAGTGAGCGGTCGTTGATTAATTGCGTTTCGCGATGGTGCGGCTTTATACGGTCGGAGGGGCCTGTGTCCGTCGGCGAGACATCCTAACTTGGCCGTCGCTGGCGGCATGCAAATTTCGCTGCATTCATCCCAAGTCGGCTTTGAACCAAGTTGGGATGACCTTTCGCTAGGAAGGGCTTGCCGTCTCGCGCGGTCGTTAGAGCCGTAATTAATGCATTTTCTCCGTGGGTGTCGGAAGGCC